AGGAAAGAAGGAAAGAAGGAAGGAAGAAGGAAGGAAGAAGGAAGAAGGAAGGAAGGAGGGAAGGAAGAAGGAAGGAAGGAAGGAGGGAAGGAAGAAGGAAGAAGGAAGGAAAGGTAATCCTCCTATTATATCACTCCTATTATTCCATGTCAGTGGAACAAGTCCTCACCCTTCGATCGCAAGAAAGGTCCTGCAACACCTCCCATCCCTGTTTGCTGGCTGAATGAAGCAGACAGGTTTCACTAGGCCCAGGAGCTGCTTTGCCGCTGCACCACTTACCAGAAGACAATCTGTATCTTGTGGGGACGTCTCAGAGCCATCTCCCCTGGCTGGTTCTCAGTGGCATTTGTTTTGTGATAGAGCACAGGGTAGATGGTGTTACGGATTCCCTTCAAATAAAAACCTGAAGCATGACTTAGGCCACACTTTGAGGCACCTTGTCCGTACTATGACAATAGCTGATGGCCTTTACAGCCTCAGACACTGTAGAGTCACATGAGGGGGGGGTGTGCCTGCAGTTTTGTAGGTAGCCATCATTCTGCTTGCTCCCTGAGAATACAAGATGGTGCACCATCATCATTAATATGCTGGGAGTCTATGGGTGTTCAAAACTGGGCCTGTAGGTCATGTTGGAGTCATAAACACATACTGTGTCTTTGCTTTGCGTTTAAAATCCAGATCCAGAGAAGATCCCTCCGGCACTGTGGGAGCTCAGGGGAGGGCTAGTTCAAAAGTCACAGCAGAGTTGACTGTGGTCTAGAACTCTCTCTCTCTGTTGGTATATACCCAATGAAGACCCATGGCATAAATAAATGTAGAGATCTAATACATGGCACATGGACTAAAGGCATTTAAATGGCATTGTATCTGGGATTTTTCAAAAGTAAATTTCACTTGCTCTTGTCACAGATATATGATATATATATATATGTGTGTGTATATATATATATAGTTGTTGAATATTAATATTTACTATTGATTTATCTTTTAGTTAAAGTGGTTATTCCTAAACCAGCTGTATACCCAAATCACCACCCAGAGACTAGGCTTTATTTAGTTAACCTAGAGCACAATACGAGCAATAGTTACTTCATCCTAAGCCTCCAAGCCCACAGAGCTTCCTCCCAGGCAGATTTTCCACATTACACTTGCTTTTAGTCATATCTTAGGTCCAGGTCACTTCTTCTCCTGGTTCCAAGTCTTCTCTTGCCTATCTCTCCTCTCTGACTCCTCTCCTTTCTTTCTCCTCCCCTCTGGACCAGGATGTCCCACCCTATTTTCTCCATTGCTCAGCATACACAAACTTGAGATAGGTGATGCTTAGAATAAACAGCGCAATGCAATGTCTGGATTGAAACCAGAGAAATCAGCATTTGAATGAACAAGGGTAAATTGTATATATTCCACAAGAACATACCAACTATATATAATAAATATATGTATTATATAATATATATATTTTATAGTTAAATATACAAATAAATATTCATTCTGTAATTAATGTTGGAAACTTAAAAACACAATAAAATTTATTTTGAAAATAAATTCTTGGTAAAGTGTGAAGGTTCACACCTTTAATCCCAGCATTCTGGAGGCTGAAACAGGAGGATCACCATGACTTCTAGAATAGCCTGGGCAGCATAGCAAGATCCAGACCAATCCGGACTGCAGAGTGGGAACCTATCTCAAACAAAAACATGAAACCAGAACTCAGTAACATTGCAATAGGTGACAGCAGTAAATCCATACAAGTCCAACAATATTTCACCCTGAGACCTCTTTGTTCCGTTAGGCTATTGCCTGGTACACGCCTATCCATTGGAAGCAAGCGTGGGAGAAGCTGGAGACGGATATTGAATTTGAGAGATGTTCGGCGGTGATTCCATCACTGAAAAGCCACATGTTTGGGTGGACAACAGCAGCTACATCTTCCATCAGTAAGGAGAAACAAGAACCAACAAAGAAAGACCTCTCTCCAGGCCTAGAGCAGGTCCACATCCTTTCCAGGTAAAGGATGCTTCATTTTGCTTATGCATTGAGTCCTTTTCCCATCGGTAACTGAACACATGGGAAGGACTGGGGAGCAGTTCATGGATTAGTCATGGCTCCAGCACAAAATGTCCGCACCATAGAGTGAGCACACACATATGTACAAGCTGTGGAGGGAGAGATCCTTGGTGGGTGATCATGAGATTCCGGGCCCCCTAGCTTTCTCTTGACAGTGCCTGCTGTTGAGGTGGAAAGGTGACATTCTCTCCATGTGCCTGAGAATTTTATCCTTGAGCTAGCTATCCTTGACAGAGTTGCAGAATTCCGTTCCTCTTTAAGTAAATGCTTGTGACATAATAAATGCTCTGTCTCAAAGGTCTAGAAAATATATACTCCTTTTTAGAAATATTAATATGATTTATATTTATGTGTATGGTGGCCTCGTCTGCATACCATGTGCAATGCCAACAGAGGCTAAGGAGGACATCCGGTGCTTCAAAGCCCCCGTGTGGGCACTGGACACTGAAGCCAGGTCCTCAGGAAGAGCAGCCAGTGCTGGTAACAGAGGAGCCAGCTCTGCAGCGCCTTTTGCCTTTTTAAATAGGCGCTCCCTTTAACTCACCTCCAGTGCTAATGCTACTGTAGAAAATTGCTTTAGAGTTCAAGATAGTCTTCCTCTTGTTACAGAGAACTGGAAATCCCGCCAAGCATTTTTCCCACCCGGAGCCCTTGGTGTAACAGTCCGTCCACCCCCCCACACCCCTACTGCTCTCTGATCAACTCACAGGACACTTTGGTGAGCAGGTGGGGTGCACAGCCCAAGCCTCAGGCAGCAAAGAAGGAAGCAGCCCCAGGTAAGCCAAAAGCTCGCCATTACTGGGAGACGGGGCTGTTGCTTGTGTGCTAAGTATCAAAAACATCAGGCCCAAATGCCAGACTGGGTCAGCTTTTTCCTCTGTGACAAATACCTGAGAGAAATAGTTCAAAGGGGGTAATTATTTTGGTTCATGGGCTAGGTAGGCCTGTATGGTTTTCCCGCCTTTTACCATGATGAAGGGATGGTGTGAGAAAACCGTTCACCTCATGGCAAGCAGAAAGCAAAAAGCCGTCAGGGGGAGAGGGGGACGGAGAGATGTGACCACAAAGGCTCTCCATCCTCCCTCCTCCCTCCTCCATCCTCCATCCTCCATCCTCTCTCCACCACCCTCCATCCTCCATCCTTCATCCTCTCTCCACCATCCTCCATCCTCCCTCCTCCCTCCTCCATCCTCAGTCCTCTATCCTCTACCCTCCACCCTCTGTCCTCCGTCCTCCACCCAGCCCCCACCTCCCACAGGTGCACATAGATTGAATTCCTCTCAATCCACTCACTTCCTCCAATCCTCACCTCTGAGTACTGTTTGTGTTGGGGAGTCGGCTTCAGTGACGACGCTTTGGGGGATCCTCCTCCAAGCTGTAAGGAAGGCTCTCAGAACAAGTGTGGGGTGTTCACTCTCAGCTGCAGTTCCTGGGTAACCAACCCCACAGTTCCGTGACTTTCTGTTGCTGAGCCAGTCAGTCCAAAGGGCCGTGCAGCCAGCATGTGGTCGGTTTGTTTGGGGCACGTGTGTTTATTTTTGAGGAACTGTCTCTGTATCCCAGGGTGCCCTGAAATCCTCTGTGGGTCCTAGGCTGTCTGTGAGCTCCTACAGTTCTCCTGCCTCAGAGGCCTGTTGTTAACGTCTCACCGGTGTAAGGCCTTTACTCCAAGCTCACACCCAGGAGCCATTGCTCACCCCGGACTCTGGGCCGTGGCTCCTCACAGCCCAGATCCTTACAGCTCAGATCCGGCATGTGTGTCTTGGGTCCAGGTATTTTCCCATAGGAAATCGCTTCCAGTGCAGAGTTGACAGAAATTTCCCTTGAGAAGTAGAAGGGGTAGAAATGTCCAGGTCAGCATCTCTCCGTTCCCTGTCGCCTGACTTGTGCAGTTTGCTGGGGCCTGGCAAGGCCTGCAGTCACTGTCCCCTGGATGCCAGCACACTGCTCAGGTGTGCGTCTGGGTGAATGTGTCTGGGGGTGCTCGGCTCAGAGTGAAGTGCTTGCTGTGTGAGCGCGAGGCCCTGAACGCAGATCCCTGGCACCCCTGTGACAAGGCAGGTACGGTGGCACAAGCCTATAGCCCTCATTCCCCAGGGCTGGCTAGCTGAGCAGTCTAGTGATCCAGGATCACTCAGAGACCTTGGCTCAAAAGATGAGGGGGGAAAGACATTGCAAAGACAACTGAGGGCAGCCTCTGGCCTCCACCGGCACATACGTGGGTGAGGACAGATGTGACCATGTGGGCACGTGATACAGCATGACCCATGACTCGTACGGGAAGGGGCAGCATCTCCTGTGGGACAGGAGCATGACTCCTGTCAGGGGACAGGAGCTGACGTGAGCAGCACTGCACACAGCGAGCAGCAGCGCCCGTGTGTCCACGTCCCTCATCAACCCTTATCACAGCACGTCCTGCTGGCTCCCAGAATCCTAATAAAATGACCTTTCACCTCAAAGCACTGCTACGCCACACTCGAGCTAGCAACCACTCTCTCCTGACGAGTGTGACCCCGCTTATGGAGAACTATGCCATCAGTGATCCATTTCCTCACACAACTGTACAATTTTGGGAATTCAGAACATCCCGGTGTCCTTTAGCAAAGACATTGTGTCATACCCCCAGACTCCATCACCAAATGCGGGGTGGGGGTCCCATCAAAGGCTGTGGAGCTGCCTGCCTGCGTTTCTTGGGGTGCTTGGATGAGCCAAACTGCAAGGACATTCATGAAACACGTCCAAGGCCCACGTCACGCCTTAGCAGTGTTCCTCCAGGTCTGAGCCTCTGTGTGTGCTCTGCTTGTGGCACCCCCTCGTCATGACACAGCCCCGTGGACCTCAAAAAGGTTCTGTCGAGTTCTGCCAAATAGAACCCTGATCTGCTGGCCTCGGGACCGTCCACGGCTGGGGAGATCACACCTGAGCACGGGCCGGCACAACTGTGGGCCTCTCTCCCTGTCACCCTACAGCCGAGACCTGGGGTCACCAAACGCTGGCAGAGCCCGGTAACTGCGAACCCGCCAGGCCTGGCTGGGCTTCTACTCTTTCTAGACGGGCTCACACCGTCCTGGAAGGGTTTGCTTGGTTGGGGTTGGTTTTCTGAGGCTTTTGCCGTGTAGCTCCAGCAGGGGGTGTAGTGTCCACTGGGCGTGTGTGGGAGTCAGCCTTAAACCGCTGTCTCCAGGGTCTCATCTCGGCCTGCGCGTGCTGAAGTGAAGGCAGGGGCGGGCGGCTCAGCATCCAGCATGTAGAGTGCTCTGCTTTCCTGTTTTCACTTCGTGGGCTTAGTGAGTGCTCTCATCTCTGACACAGGCGTCGTTTGTACGCGGCTTCGCCGAGTTCCCACTCTCGTGTTGGCGCACTGGCTCGCATGTAAACGTTATGTGTGTGCAATAGGACCTTGAGTTCCACGCAAGTGCAGCCATCTCTCCCACACCCTCCCCGTCACTGTCACACTGTGGCAGGTGTGAGTGTAGGAATCAGTGCAGCTCAGTGACAGTGCGCTCACTCGTGGACATGGCGCTCGGTGTGCGCAGCCCAGCTGCAGTGCTGAAGAGTGCGCATACCCGTGCCTTCCCGGCTTTCATTCTCTCCTTGGTTCTGGCTGTATTTTGACTATGTCTCCTTTTAAGTTATTCACTGAAAATGTGGACTTCACAACAACCGAAAACTATTTTTCTCACGTAGTTTCTTAGCTACTTGCTTCAAGTCTCCATTAAACACTGCCTCCAAATCACACATTTCTTCAAATCCAAGACAAAAACGTTTTTTTCTGCGAAAAGCCGACACTTGGAACACTTGGAACGTGGACCTGAACTCCTTCCCTTTTTATTCTTAGGGACCAAGAAAAAGAAATCAAAGTCAGAAGGAAAGAGGAAATGACTCAACTTATGAAAGTAAGTAGTTATTATAGACTTGCTTTCTCTAAATCAAAATATTACCACAAATAATTACAATAAATATTTGCAGAGTCTCACTTTATAGCCAAAGCTGGCCTCAAACTTAAATTAATCCTCCTGCCTCAGTCTCCATTTGTGATAAGGTGTTTGGACTACCACAGGACATGGATTGTTCTTTTTTCCTTTCTTCTTTATTTTATTGTTTAAGAGACAGGGTCTGGTGACATGGCTTTGGCTGGCCTGGAACTCGATGTGTGGAATACTCTGGCCTCCGATCATGAGGATCCGCATGCCTCTGCCTCCTGAGTGAAACTAACGTGCACAAGGCCTGGCCACCTCTCTGCGCTCTCCAATTCTCTGACAGACATTTCTGTCACTTCTGAATTCATCAGGCTTTCATCTTCTTGTTAAATAATAAACTTTCTGAGAATGGGAAATGACCTGCCCCAATCTTCATTTCATCTCTGTCTGTAGGCAAGTAATCTGCCCCTGACGTCAGTCAGGGCTTTGCATGTAAACCAGCACAGTCTCTTCCGTGTGAGCAGCAAGTGAGCTGGGTGAAGCTACCTCGGGGCTCAGAGCGGACATTTCTAATGGCCTTAGGGGGAAGGGAGGGAGTGCGTCTTCTGAGCCAGTTGCCTTGGCGTCATTTGAGCAGTCGAGGTTGGAGCTGCTTCATCTTGCTTTGGTGCTTTGGTGCCTGCCGCTGAGGGAGAGCCCAGCCAAGACAATGCAGTGGTGTGCATGAGAATGGTCCCCACAGGCCCCATGCTTGGAGCTTGGTCCACAGATAGCAGAGGAGGCGCTGTGTCACCAGCTTTGAGCCTAGCTCTTTCTGCCTCATAGTTGTGGCTCATGATGTGGGTTGTCAGCTCTGGCTCCCATGCCTGCCTGCCTGCCTGCCTGCCGCCATGCTTCTTACCATGAGGACACACACACTAACCCTCCTGAAACTGTGAGCCCAAATAAACACTTATTTTGTAATTGTCCTGGTCACGGATTCTAATCACAGCAACAGAAAAGGAGCCAGGCCTGGCAGTTTTCTGCTGTTTGAAGTGACTCCTCCAAAAGGTGTGGCCCATGTCTTTCCGCAGCCCCCACCTGCCGCCTTCATTTCTGTTAGCAAATGACAGCTCCTGGATGCATTGTCCGTTCAGAGGTAGACCGGTGGCTGCTTTGTTTCTTACTGCTGTCCACGAGTGGTCCCGGGAGACCCAGTGCCCTGTGCATGTGTGGAGTTCCAGCCTCTCATTATCTCACCTGAGGCCGCAGGTGGGCAAGACCACCTTTGTCTCCAGTGTGTGGCAAAGGGGCCGCCAGCACTGAGCTTGTCACTGAAGTCACTAAGACAGTAGGTAGCAAACAGGCAGGAACCTCAGTCTAATGCCAGTGTCCCCAGCACTGGGCTCTAAGATTCTCCATCTCACTGCCCTGCTCTGTCTGGATGTAGAACAGCACCACATTTAGAAGGGAGACTTGGAGCGACAAATTCTAGATTTATTCTTATCTTTAGTTCTAGGTGGGGGAAATTATGTGCACATGAGAGCAGGCGTGTCCTCAGAAGCCAGAAGAGAGGTCAGATTCTCTGAACCTCAGACTGACTTGGGTGCTGGGAACCAGACTTGGAACTGAAAAAGTAGTCTGCGCATAACCCAGGGAGCCATCTCCCCAGCCCCTAGAAGAAGCATTCTCCCCCAAAAGGAGTCAGCTCCTGAGAGTCTTAGTATCACAAAATACTGCAAAGATTCGGAGCTGGCCTCCAGTGTTGCCAAGTCAATGGGTTGATGATTATTCTCCCCCTGGGTGCTGGCTAATGGGATTTCTCCGTGAGAGCATGTGCAGTCCCTGGTGGGGGGGGGGGGGCTCTTAAGCAGGACCGAGATCTGGAAGAAGTGCAGACAGTCTGGAGAGACACCAGCCCCTCAGTGTGACCACCAGACTGCCAAAGCAATGGACCCCAGAGAGACGGGAACTTCTTGGGAATCTCGTGCTGGGAGGGAAAGGGCATCAGCAGAGGGGGTGGGGCTGGGAGAGAGATTTCACAGAGCTCTAACAACTCGGAGACTCCAGGGACCGGTTTAGAGGATGGGGCTGGAGCCCTAGAAGGCTGGGTCTGGGGCAACTTCCCGACCACATCTGCTTAGACAGCCGTGTCCCGGCCCTGACCTAACCTGTGATCTCGCTTCAAGATTCTGAAGGACTCCGAGGGAGGGTGCTGGATCTCTGCGCCCTCCCCATGAGGCCACACTGAACGAAGCTCCTGTCCCTGATTCCCACATTAGCGCAGCTCTTCTGTGTTGACTTATCGAGTATCGAGCCTGATGCGGGCGCTGTGAGGTTGGTAAGGACAGAGGGCTGTATAGGCGGCCATGCCACAGAACACTGCAGAAACAGAACTTGCCACTGGCTCGGGAGCACCGGGAAGGCTTTGGGACTTTTCGCATCTGACCACTCACCCGTCAGGAGCTTGCTGACCCTCTGGGACACAGTGGGGATTTTCGTACAGAGCATTCAGAGCTGGGTAGAACAGGTCTCCAGGTGCACACCACCGACTCTGGCCTCAGGCCTTGCCAGTGGGGGATGCTGTCGCTTGGGCCCGGTCCCACTGACGTGGCTGTTAACCCGCAATCAGCAGCAGCGGTGTCAGCGTGTCCTCCTGTACTCTGCACTAAGCACTCCTAGTGAGGACCAGGGTCAGGCCAGTGTGACCCGAGCTGGAGCCTCCATCCTTACTCCTCCACACATCCAAACCGATGTAGCTGTCCCTACAGCCGCCAAGGACCCGTCTTCAGACATGGACAGCTGAAGCGCTCGGGCAGACCTGAGCGTGGCAAACATGGCGCCAACAGGCTTTGCCTTTCCCTGCCCACCCCACCCCTTGCTAAAAGACAGATTACACTCCTAAGGCTGGCCACCAAGGCTCTGTTCCCTTATCTGGCCACTTTCTCCCCCAAGGCTGACCACCAAGGTCCAGCTATCAGAATTCCCTTCTGGCTGCCCTAATTAACACACCCGATCAAAAGTAAACACCCCATCCTAACACGGTTTCCCATTTTACCTTTAGAAACCGCCGTTTTCCTACGCACCACATCTGTTTCCTTTCCATCCAGAAGCAGTCTGTCCTTTGTCCTCCAGGACAAATACCCTCCTCCCTCTCCCTTTTTCTCTTCCCCTTCTCCCTTATCCTCTGTCTCCTGTCCTTGTCTCTTATTCGCTGCCCTTTGTCCCACTGGGGCAAATACATCTCCCTTGTGCTGAGACCTTGGTCGTGTTGTCACGACTCTGGTTCTTTCATCAGCAACAACCACAGTGTCCTGGCTTAGTTTTCATAAATGAGTTATCGGAAAACTACAGCTCAGAGAGAAAATGTTCAATCTTCCTCACTGTGAAACCTTATTGAAGGCACTGGAAAATGCAGTGGTTACCCATTCTGGTGGGGTATTTTCTGCCTCGTCTTTGTGATAGATCCCTTCTGTCTCTGCACTAATCTTACCATTTTCTTTCAGCCCCCAACGTGACACATCAATTTCCAGAGTTTTCCATCTCTGCTTCACCCCTGTCTGCTCCCCACCACGGCTGTGCTGGCTGCCCGTGCTGACCACCACGCTGGTGAAAGACATTTCATGGTTTAAAAACAGCAGAGTGTCAGGGAGCATCCGCAGCTCCTCTTCCACAGAGGGGAGCAGTATCCAGGCAGTCCCCAAGCCGAGGTCTCCTGCAGAGACATTAGTCTCTCAGCCTGTCCCAGGAGGGAAAGCCAGGCTTGCTTCCTGTCCCATGTCCCATTTTAAATGAGTTACCTGGGGTACACTTAGACATTCCAAGGAAAGGCTAATTTGATGCCAATATTAGGAAAATGGGGGTCAGAACGTGTAGAAACCATTTGGTAAACTGGTAACTCCTAGAACCATTTTGATTGACATGTTCAAAGCCCAGCATGAGCAATTCTTATAAACTAGCTGCAGCCTTAGTTCAGAAGCTATGCCTGTCACAGTGTCCGCATCAAGGCTGCAGCCTAAGTGTGTACACGTCACAGAGCTGAAGTAATGGGAGAAACGGTGATTAATAAAACCTTGGCAAAGCAGAAACCGTACAGAAACGATTCCTCCCTCTTAGTTACTCTTCATGTGTGAGTACGTTGTTTCACTGTCACACCAACCAAACTGTGTTAACAGACACAACTCGAGGGAAGAAGAATGTGGCTCAGCCACAGTCCCCATGCCCTTGAACAGAACATTGAGTGTGTCACAGAGAAGTTGCTTCACTTAAAAGACACAGAACAAAAAGGAGAAACACACAGGAAATGACGTGAAAGGACGGGAGTGGGCACAGGACACCAAGACCAAGTTCTCAGCACAAAGGAGATTTATTTCCCTCAGAGGGATGGAGGGCAGGGAATAAGAGTTAGACAGAGAAAGAAGGGAAAGGAACAAGGGAGGGGGAATATTTGCCCCAGAGGGACAAAGGACTGCCTCTGGATAGAGAGGACACAGACATGACCCATAGGTAAATGGCAGTTTATAAAGGCAAAAGGGGAAATTCTGTGTTAAGATGGTTGGTTAATTTTTATTTGGAAAGTTAATTAGGGCAGCCAAAAAGGGGGGGGGGGCTTGTGATTGGAAGACTTTGTGCTTTGATAGCTGGACGTTGGTGGTCAGCTTCAGGGGGAGCTTCAGGGCACAGATCTTGGTGGCTAGCTTTAGGAATAGTCTATGGTGTGGCAAGGGGAAGAAGACTAAGGGCAAAGCCTGTTGCTGCTGTTTGCCATGCTCAGGCCTGCTAGAGCCAGGGGTGACACAGCCCCAAGAACCCACCTCCTACGTCTGCCTCCCAGAGGTGATTTGATTCTGGATCCATCAAGAAATCATTTCATCCATGAGTTCTGTCTCAGGAAGCGTCAGCACAGACACAGCAGTGTGGCCCACTAACCCCAAGGTGGACAGTTGCCATGAGCACTACAGTGGCCCACAGGATCCACTAACTCCAGTCCTAAGCCAGGACTCACAGGCTAGGGAACTCTCTACGCAGCTCAGATGTCCATCTTTGTGACAAGTGAAGCACATTTCCAGTCTCCACGTTCAGTTATTTACGTTTGCTGTTTAATGGTACCCATCAAGAGATGATTTTCAGAATATGTGCTAATTCACTGTCATCTTACTGAACTATGAAAAGGAAGATTCAGACACATGAAAAAAAAAAGAGAAAAAGAAAGAGGAAGGAAGGAAGGAAGAAAGAAAGAAAAAGAAAGAAAGAAAGAAAGAAAGAAAGAAAGAAAGAAAGAAAGAAAGAAAGAAAGAAAGAAAGAAAGAAAGGAAGGAAGAAAGAAAGAGAAGAAAGAGGAAGGCTGCCAGTGGTCGTGTGGCAGCCATCTTACAGACACTCACAGCTTGAAGCCCTGCAGTGATACCCTGCCAAGGGAGGCAGATGGCA